TGGGTGTCTAGCTTCTTCCTAATGGAATAATCTAAACCGCCGGCGGCTATTTCGACCAACTCATGTTCTGGCACTTGTGTAAAACATCTCGCCTTGAGCAACCTAAACCTATTCAGATATTCGTCTATAGGTTCAGTGAAACGTCTCTTCACACTGGCCAGTTCTTTCAGGCTTATCTTGGTTTGCCCCATGTAGAATTGTTCATGGAACAATCTTTCCAACTGGGTCCAATGATGGATCGAATTGGGGGGGAGAGTTGTAAACCAAGTAAAAGCGTTCTTGGTTAAAGAACTTGGGAAGTATTTGATCCTTAGGTTTTCGTTATTCGAAATGTCTCCTGCTTCGATCAAATATCTTGCCACATGCTCGACAGTAGATTCTGTCGTGTCCCCAGAGAACTTAGTAAATTTGGGGACTTTGCATCTAGGAGGTAAGTCCGTTTGTAACACGTATTCTGACAATGGAGATGTAAAGTTGGGCCTTCGAAAGCCCATGTTCATCCCATTCTGAGTCATGATCCTTTCGATCATGGTTGCCAGATTGTTTTCCAAACCCATGTTTTGGTATTGGATATGCTGAACCACTTCGTCAGCATTTTGGTTTCTGTTAACTAACCTTACCTCTGGGGCTATTACCCTGGGTTCCTCGACAGGTTGTTCCAATCGTGCCCTAAGGTTTTCTTCGACAGGCTGTTGAGCCTGGTTAATGGTGGTTTCTTCCTCTACAAATATCCCCTGATTTCCCCTTATTTGCGCCCTTTGGGGCTGTCGAATAGGTGGGGGTACTCCAAAGAAATCAGCCAAACGCGTCATTTGCGCTGTAACTTGCTGATTCGATTGAGTAGTGTTTTGTATTAGAGGGTTTAGCACTGTACTCAAAGTTTGTGCCAACATTTGCACCATATCATGGTTGCTTTCGTCCATTTGTTGCCTCAAGACTGCTGTCGAGGCATTTGTAAGGCCATGGGCTACTTGGGACGTTCCTCCTAAGAGTTGGGTCCTATTTCTATTCGCCATGCCTACTCCAGAGCCTTGGAGTGGCGAAGAAGCACTCACGAAAGGGTCTGAAAAAGTGGACGCAGCATTCGTCAGGCTTGCCACTTCAGAAGTTGGCATACCATAGAATGGAATAAATCCTGGGGGAACCACAGGCCTTGTGCCTAAATTTCCCCTTGGTGGGGGAGTTCCCAAAGGCATTCTGGGGCCTGTTAACGAAGTTGTTGGCCCCGTGGTTGTGACCGACACTGCTGGTGTCGAACCAACGTTTGTCGCTTCACTTACGGTCATACTAACCGTTGCTCCCACACTCGTTTGTGGGATTTCGTTATTGTTTGGCGGATTCGCCATCTCTTCCCTTCTTCTGGCAGTATTGTTATCGTTAGTGTATATTCTACCACTCCTCAATAACATACAACTCGAAAAGATGAGATTATTTTCAACAATCAACACACAGTCCCATCAGGTGTGCCAATTTGTTTACCTAGGGTTTTGGTAAACAACCGCTGATCCTCCAAATGGTTACTTATTTGGTTACTCGCAGGATCGATCAGATTGATCCTATGGACATAGGTTGATTTTGAAGTTTGATTAAGTTGGATAAGGCTTTAAATAAAAAGGTTTCAAGTAAATTGCATAAAGGAAAGACTTGGTAAAATAAACAAGGCTTTAAGGTAAAGGTTCGACAGGAAATGTAAAGGGAAAAGCAAGTAAAATTCTGGGAAAGTAAATGACTTTAATTGATAAAATTGGTGTTTCACACATACATTTCTCAACAATTCTTTCTCACACGCTGGGTACTCGAATCTAAATGAGTGACTTTGTATAGAATTGTGAACACACGCGAGAAACTACATGTCTACTCCTATTTATACTAAAACATCCCAAGTAACCGTCGGGCAGTTACACTGCTTCGAGATCAATCCACTTGGCACGTTCTCCACGCTCGACGCTCCAGATCCTTGCACGTTTGCACGTGGTAACTGCTGGAAACCGTTTTCCCTCCAAACGCTTGAATTTCAAACTGCTCCACTCTGGACCATCGAACACTTTCGTCAAGAGACATCTTCGACGAGAAACTCCTTCGACGTCGAAGGCAACCAGCCTTCTTCTTTGGAAGAAATCTTCTAAGTATTTTGCCATCTTTCGACGGGCACTTCGACAGGCTTAGCCAGTCGAAAGCATCTTTCAGCTTTTAATGGTTGACATTGATAAAACAAGAGTGTCGAATTTAGGAGCCAACACATGCGCCATCTCACTTGGCTAAAAGCCAAGGGAGGCGCCAAGTGAGATGGCGCCTAGGGCAAAACCCTAGGTGCATGCGCCAATTGAGATGGCTCCTCCTTTGTGGAGCCATCTGAAACATGGTTATTTGCGTAATTTTTTCCGAAACCCGGTTATTTGCGAAATATTTTTTTAATACATGGTTATTAATAAAAAAATTTCGCATTTTTACAGCCTAGAATTAATTTTAGGAGCAAGCTACGGATTTAGCTGCGGATGCAAATCCGCAGGTAAAAAAAATCAGGGCTGAGTGGAGAAGACGAAGACGTGCCCTCTCCCCATTCGCTCATTCAAATTTTCGCGCTTATTTTTTTTTATTTCTAGCATAATTACGCTTTTTCATATATTATAATTAGTTTGTATTCCACTAACAAAAGAAGTGCAGTGGCTCAGTGGCAAGGCGTGTGCTTGGTGACTAACAGGACCTGGGTTCGAATCCCAGGTCCCCCATGCATTTGTGTTAATTTTTTCCAGGTTATCCAGTACAAGCCAAAACATAAGATCTATCATATGCCCTCAGAACTCACAGCGCCAGATGGCCTCCAGGCCAAATCTGATGGCCCAAAGGTGATGACCATCATAAGACCTAGTCAACGTGCATGCAGGGAATTCCAAAAAGTCAGCCCAGGCCAGCGCCTGTTGGGCCACTAAGTTGCTAATCTCACCCCTGATCTGGGCCCAAACCCCTTTGGTTATTTCTATTTCTTTTTTTATTTCCTTTATTTATTTGTTTTGATTATTTATTTTATTTTCTAACTGACCAATTAAATTATTTTTCTCATAAAAATCAAAAACTAAAAAAATATATTTTATTTATTAAAATTAAATTCATCACTTTATTTTTGTAAATAAATATTAAATTAATTAATTTAGTTTTTAATTAGGTATAACTTTTAATATTTTTGTAATAATTAAAATTAATGTAGATAATTAGGTTTTACTAACTTTAAATCAAATTAATTTTATTTCTTTAAATATCCAAAAATATCCAAAAATATCTTTTTTGAATTAATTAATTTATTCATTTAAATAACTTAGTATTATTTCCTTTTAATTCAAAAAATAACAAAAAAATTCTTTCTTTAAAAATTAAAAGGGTCAAAACCCTAAAAATGCATTCGATTTAATTTTTCGCACGCGATCCATTTTACCATATTGATGTAATTGTTTCCCGGAATGTAATAGTTTAATAGGACATTTTTTACCGCTTTATTTACTTTCCACATTTTTAATTTCAAGGGTTGTTTTTGGCGATGTAAATATCCGACGCCTTGTAATAGTTAGATTTAATTTCCGCAATTTAATTTCCGCAACTTATAAACTGTTAGATGTTTGATAATAGGGAATGCATGATAAGATCGAATGTTTAACCTAAAATCAACATAGATAACCATTGACATGTACAAAGACAAATTAACTGAAAATGTCACACTCGCACATGCGTACTCTTAGGGTACACCTCACTTGGTTGCCTTCGAACGCGGTCATTGAGTATAGGAAGTTTTAGAGGTCGCCCTCTTGTCCAAAGATCATAGTCGCCTCGAAACGGTTGCCTCGGAAAAATGATCTAACATATTAGGGTTACCGCTAAGGCGTCCTAACATTGCTTTAGTGACCGCACGTCCCTTAATCGAATTGATCCTTAAACTCCAACGACGGTGCTACCTACTCATCAATAGTGGGATAACATTGTCTAAAGGACATTAGCACATATTGATTCCTTTTTTCGAATAGGTAGATGGTTCTTAAGTACTTGCTCCTACAAAAAACAAAAATAAAACTTTTCGCACATACACTTTTCAAACAAAAAACTTCTTTCAAACCCACAAACACAAAGAAAAGCAATTTTTGAAAACACTTTGAGCAAGTACCTAAGAGCCCGTGGATAACCACAGATAGAAAGGGTGCTAACACCTTCCCTTTCTATAATCTACCCCCGGACCCGAGAAACATCTCGAAAAAGGAATTTTTCTGTACTTTTTTCCTTTCCTTGTTGGATAAAATAAAAGACGGTGGCGACTCTTACTTACTGCGACATTTTGCGAAAACAAACGCAAAACGTGAACCAGCATTCCAAAAACAGTCAGTTCTCTCCCACCGTATCACACCGCCCACTGAGAATAATGAGTCCAACTTCTCTATTATCTTGGGACAGTTGACCAGGGAGGAGACCAGACGTTGGACTCCATTATTCACGTAATCCTGTCAGTCTTTGTTATTGGGCCTAACTACTTGGCCCAATACGTGAATCTTGGTCAAATATATTAATCTAAGAATTCTTTTTATTTCTCAATTTAAAAATTGATACATATTATTAGCCTATATTCATAACTATGTAAATGTTAATCAACTGAAAAAATAAATTTAAACTTGACAAATGAGATTAGACAACGTATAGTATGAATCCAAATAAGACTCGTGCTAGAAAGCAAACGTATATCCTACTCGTTAAAGAAAATATTATGAGCTTATTCATTTTAATATTAGATGAGTCTAATGTAGTTTACATTAAATCCTAATAATTATCTCATTATTATTTTATCATAAAAAACAAACAGAGTCTTTATTTATAAAGGTCTTCTTCGACTATCCCTAGAATATCCTAACAAAATAACAATTTAAAAAAGAGGAGTGAAACTAAAACCTAATAATTATTTAAAAAAGCTCAAAAACCAAAACTCGTGTAAAAGAGTTCCATTTTCCCACAACTCGATTATTTCCATGGCTTCGAAGCTACTACCATGGTTAATCACCACGTTCCTCGTGTTCCTCACGTGCCTTCAACCTTGGACTGTGAAATCACCCTTTCACCCTCGCGACTTGCTTCCTCTCATGCCCAAGCAAATTTCGTGGCCGATTCTTAATTCGCTTCATAGCGCTGTTGATCTTCTTCCTGTTTTTGTTGGTGCAGTTTCCTCTCCGGTTAATACTAATGAGTGGAAAGGTGCTTGCTTTTATAAGAATCAGGCGTGGATTGAGTTTCATAATAAAACTGGTTCCCAATTTGGTGGTGGAACCGTTCACTTAAAGGTGTGTTTTTTCTGGCGATTTTGGTTTGGTTTTGTCGTTTTGGATTCTGTGTCGATGTTGTTTTTGGTTAATAGATTATGCAGATTTTGCGTTATGTTAAAACTTGTTTAATTGTATTGAACTTTTGTTTACTTATTAAACTAGTTATTATGAAGATGAAGATTTCGTTAAAACTAAACTTGTTTAGTTGGCACTTAGTGTAGGTTTGGTTTCACTTTTGGATGGAAGAGTATAAAGTGTATTTTGGTTTAGGTTTTGGAAGAGTCAAAAGCAATTTTAGAGATGAAAAATTGATTTTGGAATGATTTCGAGGTGTTTGGTTTTTCTTAAGTAGAATTGATTCTACCTCCAAAATTGATTATATTCTAAGCTAGACTTGAATTTGTAGTTTTTGAGTTTAAACTTGATTTTTACACTGAAATTCAATTTTGGATTGAAGAACCTAAAGGGATTCTAGAGATCAGAGCTGTCTCAAGTGTTTTGAGGCTCATGTAAGTTAAGTGCATTTTAACTCTGCCAAAATGAATAAAGATCCTATTTAACCATGATTTAATCGTGACGAATATTTTAGGAGAATCTATTTAACCATAATTTAATCGTGACGAATATTTTAGGAGACCCTATTTAACCACGATTTAATAGTGACAAATATTTTAGGAGATCCTATTTAACCACGATTTTGCCATGACAAATATTTTAGGAGACCCTATTTAGCCACGGTTTAATTGTAGTAAATTTTGGACCATATGCGGTAACCCGCCTTGCACGCCCTCAAAGACGGCCTGACTAGAGATATAGAATTGATTTTGATATGTTTAGTTTTTCAAAAATGGAATTAATTTTGATTTTAGAATCGGTTTTTCTTGAAGTTAGATTTGTAGTTTTTGAGTCTAAATGTGATTTTAACATTGAAATTACTGTTCAACTCACTTTTGATTTTGATGTGTTTGGTTTCTCAAAAATAGAATTGATTTTGCTTTTTGAATTGATTTTCCTTGAATTTAGGATTTGCAGCTTTAGATTCTAAATGAAATTTACTGTTCAATTCAGTTTTGTATGAATGTATTAAAAAATAAATCACTTTACTATCAACTCACTTTTAGTCCAAATCAAAAATTCACTCAAAATCTAATTTTTTTCACCACAGAACCAACCACACACTTAATCCTATGAAAGTTACGAAACATAAACAAAAATTTGTCATATTCATGAATCATGGTATTTGTTGCAGTTTTTCTTACTTATCATTGATAATAGAAATCATTAGGGGAGTTGGTTGTGTAGGCATTATTTTCTTAATAATAGGATTCTTAAATGATCAGAGCTTGATATTTGGGATTCAAAGGAAATTGATTGATTATTATCTATGTGCTGATGTAGGTTAGCAATGCTCATAGTTGGACATGTTTAGATATTTACATCTTTGCAACCCCATATCGTGTGACATGGGATTATTATTTTTTGGCCCGGGAGCATACACTTGAAATCAAGGAATGGGATGGGAGAGCCGAGTATGAGTATGTAAGTGTCCATCTTTCTTCATTACAACATCACTAAGTATAGTGTTGAAAGTTTAAGCACACATTTTTCTTTTAGCGATCCTTACCGTTTTTGCAATCAGGTAAAAAATCACGGCTTATCAATTTTCCTCTTGAAAGCTGGAATGTTGGGGACCCTTCAAGCACTTTGGGAGGTCTTCCCTTTATTTACAAATACTGGATGGGGTGAGAACTCAAATATCGGGTTTCTGGAGAAACATATGGGAGCCTCTTTTGAAACACGCCCTCAGCCTTGGGTTACGAATATCAGCGCTGCTGACATTCACTCTGGGGATTTCCTTGCTGTTTCAAAAATTCGAGGTCGTTGGGGTGCTTTTGAGACTCTAGAGAAATGGGTTAGTGGTGCTTATGCTGGTCACACTGCTGTTTGCTTAAGAGATTCAGATGGAAAGCTTTGGGTTGGAGAGTCAGGACATGAAAATGAAAAGGTAAAAATATTTAAGTTAAATTTAACCTATTGGTTCACAGAATGATAGTACTAAATTTTTATATCTTAATTTCCTAAATTCTTGATATATTTCCATAGTCTGATATAAATTAAAGTTTATAAAGAATCAGTGTAAACTTTCCTTAACCTTACAGTATCACTCTAGGTAAGATGTATTCTCAGTCTCGTGTAACGTTGGTGAACTCTGCCGCATAATTTCGAGTCTGCTAGTGTTTCATTCGTCTCTCTTTTATTTGCAGGGAGAAGATATAATTGCTATGATACCATGGGATGAGTGGTGGGATTTTGAACTGAATAAAGATGATTCTAATCCCCATATTGCTCTTCTTCCTTTACACCCTGACATTCGTGCAAGGTTTAATGAGACTGCAGCGTGGGAGTATGCTTTGAGTATGGACGGAAAACCTTATGGTTACCATAACATGATTTTCAGTTGGATTGATACTTTAACTGCGAACTATCCACCTCCCTTGGATGCTAATGTGGTATGGATTTATGAAGCTATTTTTAAATTTTCAGCTAATCTGTGGTGGCATTCGGTGCAACCTTGGGTTTTTTGTCTCTAAATTTCAAGTTTGAACATTTTCTACTTCCCTTTCCTAATAATGATATGAATTGTTTCAAACTGAGATCCAACCGTATAGTCTTCAACTCTTGATCTTGCAGAAATTCAACATAAGCTTTCTATGCAAGTTTGTAAATAATGATAAAATAGTTTTATTTATCATCAGCTCCTTTCCTAACAATAATATGAACTGTTTCAAACTGAGAATCAATAAACCATATAGTCTTGAATTCTTGTTCTTTCGGAAATACAACATAAGCTTTCTATTCAAGTTTGGAATAGTAAAAAATTAATTCAAAATTTCAAATTACAATATCATCAGCTCTTTTAGTTTTTACTATAATTGCTTGTTTGTAACTCAAGAAGACAGTTTCTAGTGGAGAAAAATTCACTCACTTTAAAATAAGTGACAAATAAGTTTACGATATGTGGTATCAAGTATCGACTATTGTCTGTGCTGCATTCCTGCCTTCTCATTTCTCCGTATTTTGGAAGTTTAAGCCACGTTGATGGTACATCGCTTATTTTGTTTTTATTTTATTTTATGAATTTGAGCATTTATCTTGTTGATTTTCAGGTTGCTTGTGTTATGACAATTTGGAGTCAACTTAAACCTGAATATGCTGGAAATATGTGGAATGAAGCCTTGAACAAACGACTTGGAACTAAAGTATGCTACAACCTTTACTTGCTTCTTGCTTCAATATGCATGTGTCATTATGATACTAATCATTTGTCACTTTTTACAATAAATGGAACCAATGCCTTCAATTTTCTAGTATACTTCATAAGAGGCTTGTGACATGATTTACTGCATAGATTAGCAATCTTTTTTGTGCTCTTGATATATTACATTAGATATAACTTCTCTGCGATAGTTTGAAACAACCCCGTCAACTCTTATTGCCTTTTTGTGTTTCTTCTTTCTGCAGGGGCTTGACCTTTCAGAAGTTTTAGTAGAAGTTGAAAGGCGTGGATCATCTTTTGATGAACTACTGACGATTCCAGAACAGGATGACTGGATCTACAATGATGGCAAGTCAACTTCTTGTGTTGCTTTTATACTTGAAATGTACAAGGAGGCAGGATTGTTTGATCCAATTGCCAGCTCTATCCAAGTGACAGAGTTTACGGTGAGTTTGTCCAACAAACTAGTTTCGAAAACATATTTACAATTTCATTAGAACCACTGACCATATTCCACACCATCTTCATTAAATGAAATCATTCAATTGTTTGTTGAGCATGGCTGATATCAATCCACAATTAATTTTGTTTTACGACTTTCATATGTTAATGATTTTTTTTGTAGAGTTTTCTTGACCATGTTCTTATTGGCTTGTTTTTGTGCAATGAATGCAGATAAAAGATGCTTACATTCTCAATTTTTTCGAGAACAATTCTAGCCGGTTGCCATCATGGTGCAATGACGGGGACACCGTGAAGCTTCCATATTGTCAGATCAAAGGAAAGTATCGGATGGAGTTACCTGGATACAATACCATGCAACCATATCCTCACATGAATGAAAGGTGCTCATCTCTTCCCACAAAGTATTCCAGAGCCGAGAATTGCTAGCAGTCTTCACTTCTTTCTTCCTATCCATTTGCAGATTGCTTCAACTGATTATTTATTCTAATTGACTCAACTGAACAATTGATGTTTGTATCCATTTGATTTTTTTAAAGTACGGCAAATTCATCATTGTATATGTTCTCGCAACTATGTTAGATTATTCATGTAATTTGCATTACATTTCTAGGTAGATTAAAGATTATGTAAATAGATGGAACTTGAATATACGTATATCATACAATATAAATGTTCCCAGTGGTGCATCTTTATTGTTTACTCTAATTCTGTAATGTACATTTATTATTATAGGGTTACCTTACCTAGTAGCAGAATATACACATTGGCGGGGTGTGTGCGAGTGTAAATTTTAGAATACGGAGTTCGATTTCTACTCATAAGAAACAGCTCATATTTGAATTTGCTTTACTCTTCTCTTACAACAAGTTCTCCTAATAAGATTTTAACTATGACGAGGGTAAACACAAGATAAGCTAATACACATATATACTAATTTACACATAACATATTATTCTAGTAAAATCTTATTAGGGAGACCATAAGTTGTTGAATGAGAGCTATGATATTTCCCTTGGGCAAAGTTCAATCAGTAGACCTTGAGATGGTGTTGGCATTGGATCCCTGCTGAAGGAATTGTCTGAAAGCAGCTTCCAACTGAACTTGGTCACAAGGTAATGAATTGCCACTAGAGTTTCAACCCTGGCAAACTCGTATCCTGGACATATTCTTGCTCCCCCTCCAAATGGAACAAAGCAATAGGGTGGTGTAGATGCTTGGTTTTCAAATCTACTCGGGTCAAACTTTAATGGTTCGGGGAAAATGTTGCTGTCCATGTGAGTCGTCGATGTAACCCAAAAGATCTATAAAACAAGAAATGTTCGATGTTAATTGATTGCAAATTGTCATGAACTGATAACCACAGTTAACAGGTTGGTTTGCTTCCTGAATCGAACCAAGAGAGAACAATACGCGATAGAGATCATTTACCTGCCACCCTTTGGGTATAATGTATCCACCATATTCAATATCTGTTGCTGTTTTTCTGAACCCACCGAAGACGGGTGGAAACCTTCTCAGAGTTTCCATTACTACTCTCCAAGTGTACTTCATCTTTGAAAGGTCTTCCCATGTCAGAGGCTCTCCCAAAAGCTTGCCTTTTGCTATTTCCTCCTGTTCTGCAAGTGCAACCATATAATCAAATTATATAGATTTCTCTACCTTGAAGAACCGCTTCACGCACACAAGTCGATGCATACCTTGAAGAACAGCTGCATAAATAGTTGGTTCATTAGCCAAAAGCCGGATAACGAAAGTGATTACAATAGATGATGTATCATGTCCTGCAACCATGACAAGCATAGCATTATGGATGATTTCCTTCTCAGTTAAAACTTGTTTTCCATCTTCAACCATGCTAAGCAAGCAGCTGATTAAGTCTTGGCGGGAATTGGCACCGTTTTTCTCGTGTTCATCTTTCTTCTGGTGCACAATCTCTTTCAACAGGTTTTGGATCCTCGCACTTGCCTTTAGGCTGCGGTTGTAGCGTGTGAAAGGTGCATTAACTGGTATCGACCACATTCCTTGAATCATTGCTTGAAAGGGTTTCATGAATTGATCTCTTTGTTTTCCACCCTCAAGGCCAAACAGAAGAGAGCAAATTATATTGAATGTGAGAGTCTTCATCAGAGGTAATACCTATAGATTATCATTAGTTAATACCAATGCATTTTTATTATCTTTTGATTTTGTTAAGATTTGCAACAACATACCTTGAGCTGCTGCTTCCCTTCCCAATGCATCTGAATGTGCTGCTTAACTTCTTCATCAATTTTACCTACATATTGCTTCAAAGATTCTGGTTTCAAGAATGAGACAAGTGCACCTCTGACTCTGCTATGATCTTTGCCACTCAGTTCCATTAAGTTCCTGTCACCCAATATCTTCTTAATAGATTGTGTTTGCTGGTTAACAATAGTATCACCGCCATTTGTGAATATAAACTTATTTGCAGCCTGTCCATGAATCAAAACAGTTGGTGTTCCAAACAGACTTAGCTTTGAAATAGGACCATACTTGTTGATTCTGTCTTGAACCCATTTTTCTGCAGTGTTGGATCGCATAGCATGAAGAAGGCCAAGGCTTTGACCAATAATTGGAATTCCAAGTGAACCTGGAGGGACCCTTTTGGATGATTTGGTTCTTCTAAGCAGAAAGATAACTGGGATGAGTAAGAGGAGAGCAAAAAGAAGAACACTAGTCATGGTTTAAGGCTACTTTTTTCAGGTTCAGGAATATCCTCATATGTGAGTGTTTATTGATGCTTTTATAATAGGATTTGACATTTTCTATGATTCCTTAGTTGGAGTATTCAAATGAAACAAAAGCCGGCTGTGTACATCATTAAAGTTTTTGTCATCTAGCATCTATCTATTTATTTTAACTATTAAAACTTGTGCCCAGATTGCAGCTCTCAGCCTATTATGTACAATAACATAATGCGACATTGACACCTAAGATGCCGCAATACAGACATGTGGACATTGCTAACTTAAAAATATAAAACACTTCAACCGATACATATATATTTGGTAAGAGTCCCACTTCAGAGAATATATATATTTGGTAAGAGTCCCACTTCAGAGAATAATGACCTGAAGAATATGTATTTATAAGTGGGGGCAATCCTCGCCTTACAAGTTGGTTTTGTAAGGATAAGTTAGGATTAATTCAAATTCTAAGATGGTATCAGAGTTTAGTTTAAGATTTGGAGCCGATATATTTGTTAAAAGTTTCACATGGAAACCTTAATATGGGTTTATAAGTTTGAGTAATTCTCTCAACCCAAATTCTAAGAATACTTATTCATACAGGAATAAAATAAAATATGAATTCTTTTAATAAAAGGTGTAAATTGAGAATTATAATAGATATGTGCATATAAATTCAACGATTTGTTTCATATTCATAGATGTTCTTAAATAAATTATTATAGTTTTTCATCTTCATTCATCTATCAACTATACTAAAAAGCTAAGAATTATGTAATCAAACTATGTCTTTAACTTATTCATTCATCATCATTGTTTCGACACATCTGTATCTTAGAAGTGTATGAGAAGCGTCCAAAGAATGTCAAAGAGTGTGTCAAAGCAAAATGTTTTTTTTTTGAGAAGCTTCATGTCGTTTGAGTGATTCAGATTTCTGACACCGACATTGTCGAACACTGGAACACACTTAATCTCAGTTCGAGTGACATACGGGTGTTCGAGACTGACGCGCATCGAACTCTGGAACACACTTAATTCCAGAAGTGTGTGTGATTCAAAGTCTTCCAACTCAGTTCTATTTGTCAAAAGATAACTGGTGTAAGTGCATTGTTTAACAAGTGTAAAAAGGTAAATTTGCATAAGAAGTTATGCATTTTTTTTTTGTTAGAGTAAGTTGTGTATTTGATATATTAGAAAGAGAGATAGATGACATTTTAATGAATAACTATATTAAGAACCACAACCATGCACTGTCACAGGGTTTTCTTTTTAACTATAGTTAGCTTAGATTTAACTTTTTATTGTTGACTTTGCAATAATACAGGCAATAGATGCTTACATACTCAATTTTTTTGAGTACTGTTGAATAATGAGAGAATAAGAGAAAGATTGGATTGAATCCGTGTGCGTGAATTACACATCGGAGTTCATTATATATAATAGGAGGCATAAATGCCATAGTAATTACATAATATTCTATAATAATTACATAGTATTCTATTTCCTATTTATATGATATCCTAATTACTTACAGAATATTCTATTTACATAATATAGAATATTCTGATATCTAACACTCTCCCTCAAGCTGGAGCATATATGTCATATGCACCAAGCTTGTTACAAATATAATTAATTCGAGGACCTTTCAAAGGCTTAGTGAAAACATCAGCTAACTGATCATTTGAATTGACAAAACTAGTGCTGACATCTCTAGATAAAATCTTCTCTCTGAAGAAATGACAATCAATCTCAATGTGTTTGGTTCTCTCATGGAACACTGGATTTGATGCAATATGCAGAGCTGCCTGATTGTCACAAATAAGTGTCATCTGTGAAACATTTCCGAATCTCAGGTCGTGAAGCAATTGTCTAAGCCATATAAGCTCACAGGTTGTTGTTGCCATGGCTCGATATTCTGCTTCCACACTTGACCTTGCCACTACACTTTGTTTCTTACTTTTCCAGGAAATTAAGTTACCACTCAAGAAAACACAATAACCTGAGGTGGATCTCCTATCAGAAGGAGAACCTGCCCAATCTGCATCTGAGTATCCTACAACTCGAGTGTGTCCCTTGTCTTCATAGAGTAAGCCTTTTCCTGGAGCTCCTTTAATATATTTCAAGATGCGAATCACAGCTTCCCAATGCCCTTCACAAGGAGAGTTAAGAAATTGACTTACCACACTAACAGGAAATGAAATATCTGAGCGAGTAACAGTGAGGTAATTCAGTTTTCCAACTAATCTTCTATATTTTCCAGGATCAGAGAATGGCTCCCCCTGAGCTGGCATAAGTTTAGCATTGGAATCCATCGGAGTGTCAACTGGCTTGGAATTTAACAGTCTCGTCTCCTCCAAAATATCCATAGCATACTTCCTTTGTGAAATCCCAATCCCCCGTTTGGATTGGGCAATTTCTATGCCGAAGAAATAACGAAGTCTGCCGAGGTCTTTTGTCTGGAAATGATGACAAAGGTGTTGTTTTACCTGTGTGATTCCATGATGATCATTACCTGTAATGACAATGTCGTCCACATACACAATTAAGTAAATACACCCAACAACTGAGTGATGATAAAACACTGAATGATCAGCTTCACATCGCGTCATACCAAACTCTTGAATAACAATGCTAAATCTCTTAAACCAAACCCTAGGAAATTGCTTAAGTCCATACAAAGACTTATGAAGACGACAGACTAGTCCAGAAGACTCCCCCTGAGCAACAAACCCGGGAGGTTGCTCCATATAAACTTCCTCACACAAATCACCATGGAGGAATGCGTTCTTGATGTCAAACTGGTAAAGGGGCCAGTGGCGAATAGCTGCCATAGAGAGAATTAATTGAACCGAGGCCATTTTAGCCACGGGAGAGAAGGTGTCACCACAATCTAGGCCGAACAGCTGTGTATAACATTTGGCCACTAAACGTGCCTTGAGACGATCAACTTGCCCATCAGGCCCAACTTTGACTGTGAAAACCCACCTGCAACCTACAACAAATTTTCCAAGAGGAAGAGAAACAAGGTCCCACGTGCCACTGTTCTGAAGAGCGCACATCTCATCAAGCATAGCTTGTTTCCAGCCAGGGTGAGATAAAGCATCACCTACAGTCTTGGGAATAGACACAGAAGACAAAGAGGAAATACAAGCATAATGCAAAGAAGACAAGCGATGATAAGACAAATTAACATAATGAGGAGATGGATTACAAGTGGAATGTATACCTTTGCGAAGTGCAACTGGGAGATCAGTCTCAGGGGGCAGGACCTGAGGGGACGAAGGAGTTGGATCTGGAGGGGAGTCTATGGTGATTTCTGCATTAGTTGATGGTAGTGGAGGTGATCGTGGTCGACGCCGATAAACCTGCAAAGGAGCTAATGGGGGTGGATTGGCTGGAAAAGGAGACAAAACTACGTTTGGTGGGGGCAGTAGTGGGAGATGAAGAAAACATGAGTGATAGGGACTCAGACCCTGTAGACGTTCCAAAGTAAGAGACTGACTCAAAGAATGTGACATCAACAGAGACGAAATATCGACGAAGAGACGAGGAGTAACATTTATATCCCTTTTGGGATCTTGTATAGCCTAAGAACACACACTTATGAGAACGAGCTGAGAGTTTGTCTAGCCCAGGACTAATATTATGGACAAAACATGTAGACCCAAAGACTCTAGGCTGTAATGGGTGAAGAGACTGGTGAGGAAATATAATAGAGTGAGGGATCTGATTGTTGAGGACAGATGATGACATCCTATTTATGAGATAACAAGCCGTAAGGACAACATCACTCCAAAAATGTTGAGGAACATTATTGTGAAGTAAGAGTGTCCTAGTGGTTTCAACTAGGTGTCTATTTTTACGTTCAACGACTCCGTTTTGTTGTGGTGTGTGAGCACAAGACGTTTGATGAAGCATATCATTAGTAGCCATGAAAGTTTGAAATTGAGTAGATAAATATTCTCGAGCATTGTCACTGTGCAAAGTACTAATGGATATACCAAACTGATTTTTGATTTCATTATAAAATATTTGAAAAATAGCAAATAACTCCGATCGATTTTCCATTAAAAATAACCAGGTACATCGAGAATAATCATCAATGAAGGTAGCAAAATACTTAGACCCTAAAGTGGAAACAATGCGACTAGGACCCCAAATATCCGAATGAACTAGAGCAAACGGAGACTTAGAACGACGATTGACACGACTCGGAAAAGAACTACGAAGTTTTCCTAATTGACAAGACTCACAAGACAACGTAGATAACTTGGAAAGGTTGGACACCAACTTTTGTAACTTTGCAAGACTTGGATGTCCTAACTGAGCATGAACCAGGAGGGGAGAATCCACCACAAAACCAACATGTGCAGATGGTTGAAGAAGATAAAGACCATTAGACTCACATCCGGTGCCAATCATCCGTCTCGAACTCCGATACTGCAAGAAAAAAGAATCTTTGGTGAATGAGATAGTACAATTAAGAGATCAAGTCAAACGACTTAGAGACAATAAGTTAAACGGAGATCCGGGTACATAAAGAACATTAGTAATGGAGAGCGAGGGAAAAAGGTGGATAGTACCAGTACCCTGAGATTGAGTTTGGGAGCCATTTGCTAATGTGACAAAGGGTAATAAACCAGAAGTAGAGAATGAAGAAAAAAGAGATTTATTATCAGTAATGTGATCAGTGGCGCCTGAATCAAGGATCCATGGGCCAAGAGATGTGGAGTGAGAAAGACCAGCAAAAGAATTACCCGTGTGCGCAACAGAGACAGTGAAACTAGCGGCCTGACACTCCTCATACCACATGATAAAGTCGTTGAAGATAGCAGGTGAGGTGGCAGAATCAGTCGGAGTAGCAGCCTGTGGAGGTGGAGCGGTCTGGGCAACGTGGGCAGTCCGAGTATTCAGCCATAGAACCATCCAGGTGACGAGGGGAAATAATATTCTACAACTTTTGACACACTCCATATAAGCGTTGTGTATCATTGGTATAAAGGATCTTAGCCTGTGCCCAAACAGATTCGCAAGTCTCATGATAACGAAAGATCTGTTTCAAGGATGGACTAATAGTCGACTTAATGTGACTGCAGAGTTGAGCATCAATTTTCTTCCAACGAGCACTATCAGTGGCAGCCACCGAGTCGGCCTTCGTAGTGAGGTGATCTTCATATGCCTGTCCCCGGAGCCATAATTTGATGTCGGAAGCCCAAGAATCATAGTTAGTACTGTCCAATTTGTCAACGGCAAGAGGAGTAGTGATATAACTTGTGAAAATAGGGGCCTCAGTCCTTGGAGGGGGAACGGTGGCCATGGATTCCAAAAACGGCGAGAGAAGTGACCAAAAAAAAAATAGAAGATCTGAGAAGGAATATCGGAAACCAGAGATGAAGCACGGTTACCGAAAAAAAAAATTGGCGCCGATAGATAGTGGATCTACCGGGAAAGCACGGATTAGGGTTGCCTCTTGTTAGGCTCTAGATACCATATTGAATAATGAGAGAACAAGAGGAAGGTTGGATTGAATCCATGTGTGAATTGCACATCGGAGCTCATTATATATAATAGGAGGCATAAATGCCATAGTAATTACATAATATTTTATAATAATTACATAATATTCTATTTCCTATTTACATGATATCCTAATTACTTATAGAATATTTTATTTACATAATATGGAATATTCCGATATCTAACAAGTACAATTCAAGTCACTTGTCAACATGATGCAACAGAGGAGACACAAGGAAACTTCCTTATAGTCAGATTAAAAGCAATGCAATATAGTACATATCTTCATGCTTGAATTTGCTTTACTTTTCCCTTACAACAAGTCCTCCTAATAAGATTTTAACTATACAAGTTTATATTGAAGTTGAGCACAAGATAAGCTAATACAAATATATACACTAATCTACGTAACATATTATTCTAGTAAGAATCTTATGAGGAGGACCATAAGTTGTTGAATGAGAGCTAAGATAGTTTCCTTGGGAAAAGTTCAATCAATAGGCCTTGACTTGGTGTTGGCATTGGATCCCTGCTGAAGGAATTGTCTGAAAGGCTTCCAACTGAACTTTATCACAATATAATGAATTGCCACAAGAGTTTCAATCTTTGCAAACTCATATCCTGGACATATTCTTGTTCCCCCTCCAAATGGAATGTAGCAATAGGGTGGTGTAGATGCTTGGTTTTCAAATCTACTTGGATCAAACTTTGATGGCTCTGGGAGTTTATTATAAGCATGCTCAGTGGACTTATAATACACAAAGTTTTTGGATGAAAAGTATTTCATGCCGGGAAGCTCAGGTACACGGTAACACCCTTTGTTATCTTTAGTTTTTTCTTCAAGCTTTTCTACATCTTGTAAGACATTATTATCATCATTCATCCACCTCTCTATTGGTTCCTCGATTATTTTGGTTTTCCTTCTGGCTTCTTTCATGCGCTCCTTCACACTTTTTTGGGTTACTATCAACTCATCCTTTTGAACATAAAGACTTCTATTGATCTGGTTGAAGCTGAACATGTAACGAGCATGGTTTAACATAGGGTTGACCAAATATTCTGAAAGCTTTCCTGCAATGGAGATTGCAATGTCTTTCATAGATTGCAATGTCTGCCATATATGATTGCAATGTCTGATTACATTACCTTATTGTGTACAACCCATATGATTATAAATAAACACTTAGTGTAGTCTCATTTGACAACATTATACAAAAAACAAAAAACAAAAAAAACAATTCTAACATGGTATCAGTAGTTAAGGGTTTTACGATCTCTTTTATTTTGCCTCAGTAACCTTGTTGTTTGTAATACACACGACTATTGTGTCTTTTTTCTCTGCCACAATGCATCCAATCATGGATGTGACGCCACCACTAGTTTGCAATCCTCCGGCGTGTTGAAAAAGAATTACAAGTTTGAGTAGTGTGGGGAAGTCCCACATTAGTTAAGAATGTGGAGATCCATACACCTATCACCTTAAAATTTTGAGTGAGTATGTGGTGTGTCTCTCACAAATGTGTGTTGCTCAAAAGAAAATGTCCCAAAGTGTATAAATACTCTCCCATGCTAACCTTCAGAATTATCCTAACAAATGGTATCAGAGTCTGATTCGAGTGAAGGGACTGCCTTACTTGTATAGAAATTTCCTACTAGGTTGGCGGTACAAGTCCATGTGGACCAAAGAGCTTCTACTTGAGAGGGAGCATTGTGGATAGACTCACACTTCAGGGTGTGAGTAGTGTGGGGAAGTCCCACATTGGTTAAGAATACGGAGACCCCCGAATTTCCCTAACACAGTGAACCCATCGACAGAAGCTCGTCCCCAATCAACGCCACACATGCTACCAGCATCCAGGTGCATGAGTCCCACTCGCACTGCGCCATATCAGTTTTCGGCTCTTTTTCACCCCGTTTTGTTGTTCGTCGCGATCATCACTATCTTTCCGACCAATCTCACGGGAGATCACTCTCCCACCGATTATGTCACTTTTACCAAAATTTCGCTCATTCTGTGCGAGAAACTAACCGAAATATGCAGCTACAACATATGGGTTAGTGTTGTCAAGCTATGGTTTCAAGGTCAAGGACTTGAAGATCACTTGACCAAATAATCAAAAGATATTTTCCTCGTCCATCGTACTAAATAGAAGAAAGTCGATGCATCTCTATGCATCATGTTATGGTTTTTCATAGAACCTAATCTCCAAGCGCAATACTAAGCATTTACCACTTGCTATGAGGTTTGGGAAAATGATAAGAAAGTCTTTTTCAACGATGTTCATCGTCTCTACAATGTCGTTCTTAGCATTAACTCTTTGAAATTGGAGAATATGGATGTGTGCAAGCTTATATTAGTAAGCTTGATTCTTTGAAGGCTAATTTTTTATCCCTAATGTCTTTTACAAGTGATGCAACAACTCATGCTGAACAACATACAAATTTTTCATGATCATGACACTTGTCAGACTACCACCATAACTTGATTTCATAAGTAACCATATTTTGAGATTCATAATCCCTGATTATGAATCCGTTAGTGAATAACTGTTGCGATTGACTATACCTCATGCTTTTGGACCTAACTTTACTCCACCCCCACTGAATTATCTGCTATTGCTTCCCACTACCATGGTCCTGGTGACAGAACGAAGGACGTGGTGGCCAACTCCATGGTATTAGCTTCAACTATTGCGATCACTATGATCATATTAAAGTTGAATGTCGTACAAAGACAAGAGACTAATAGTGACAACCTAAGGTTATCGTTGTTGTTCAACCGACTATCACCAAAGATGTTATTATTTCGGATGATGATTATAGTGAGTTTCTTTAGCTCAAAGCAACCCATTGTTAGCCTGGCTGTTAGCTTGGAAATTCCAGCTAAAGGGAAGTTAATGAAGAATATCGCGTTGAGAAACGCTAAGTATTGAAAGTATTAATTAGTAAGCTTTGATCGAAACAATCTCGCGACTGAGAAGTTTCGACTAACATGATAGGTATGATTTGGAATAATCACAAGAACAAATCCATAAGATTAAAGATCACTCTTTCCTCTAAACAATGTCCAAAATCTCAAAAAAAAAAGACATTTGACAAAGGTTTGTCTCAACAAGATAGTTGCGTTGACAAAATAATTAATTATAAAAAAACACTTAGTGTTTTTCTAAGTCAAGTAGTCAGTTGGAGAAAAAGGTGCGTCGAAGAGTACTGGATCAAATAATTTTAAGAAGTAGTGAGTGGTTCTGAGCAGTTACGAATGTGGGATAATGGGCATTTCAACAGTTTTGAAGTCTGACGACGTGGAAGCATTTTAAAAGGTTAAATAACATGTGTTGATACATGTATGCCTTTTGTAAGAATAACTTTTGGAGATGGTTATTATTATACTAGTATAAGTAGAAGTATCAGGGCTGACCCAATCCATTTAAAGGCTTAAACATTTTTTTAAAATGAGGTCTTTAAAATGTATTTTAAAATATGATTTTATGGTTGTTAAGAGTTAAACCCAAGACCAAAAGAAAAAGAGATCTAAGTTTTATCAACTAAACTATGATAATTTATGTGTCTAATGTGTCATTATATATTATTATAACTAAATAAAAATATTTTGAGGCTTTTTTTAAGCCTAAATATTTTAAGCCTAAAGCCATAGCTTTGGTGGCTTGGTCCTTGGGCCGGCCATGACCAGTATCCTACATTGTAATCAAGGTCGCAAAGTTTCATACATTCTCTCTATAGAACTAAAGTACTCGAGTCCAAGAGCGAAACCATTTATGAGAAACATATATGAGTCCACGTCCTTTCTTTTCATTATCCTTTTGTTTCCTTAAATGAAACATATTTGTTTTTTCGGTCTTACATTTTCACTTTTGTTTAATGTAATTTATTGTATTTTACATACTTTTAATTTACCAAAGCTTTTCTTTAATTGAGCTATGCATTTATTTGTGTTTATACAAACAATTACATTTAATTCACACATTATTTTTCATACAATTACTTTGCACAAATTGCTCTTGGAATTTTTTGAGTTAATGTCACAAGCACAGTGTTGTACCCCAAAATTTGCCCTCCCATATTTCTCAAGACATGTCAAGAATCATCTCCAAGTTGTTCAAGATGGCTCAAGAGTTGGACAGTCAAATCATCTCCTAAGGCAGACAATTCAAAATTAGGGTTTTGTGTTGCATCAAGGTCCTTACATCCAAATGACCTCAAGTGCTCCTTAATGTCCTAACGTATGTTCAAATTCAGAAGGTATCCGACTGTGTGAGTTTTCTCGAAGAAATATGGTGAAAAAAGTGTGCTGAAAGTGCAGTTTTTACGCGCTAAAAAATTCATAACTTGAAGATCGTGGCTCGTTTTGAACCCGTTCCGGTGGCCAAAATTCCGCCTTGACGTTATCTATGTTTTCATCTCTCACGGATGGAAGCCAATTACGATCAGAAGGTCTTCAAAAATGCGGATTTATCAAGTACTTTCATACAGAAAATTTGTGACAAAAGTTTATTTGCGTCATGTTCAGAAAATCATAACTTGGTCGATTTTCATCGTATCGAGCTGGTTCCGGCGCAAAAATTTCACAAATTGAGTTGGCTACATTTTCACAGAAGGTATTGAGTTCAAACGGTATTCAAAAGGCCTTCGTTTTTTGCTCAGAGTGCATGACACGCTGAAAATCCTGAATGCTGAATATTATTTCATCTGGGCCGAAACTTCGAAAATTCATAACTCGGTCAATTTTTATCGGATTGGGCTTATATTTTTACACAAGGTCACTGACTCAGATATCTACAACTTTTCTTCAAAAGTCGAGACCAAATTATGCACCGATCAATACCAGTTTTTTATTGAAGAACGTGTCAGAGTCGACACTAGAGCCCAAAATAAGTTTGTTTGAGCTGAAACTTCAAAAATTCATAACTAATTCACCGTTTATCTGATTGAGCCGATTTTCGGACAGGAGTTAGTTCTCGATGTCGGCTACATTTTGTTTTCACATTTCAACTTCAAAAATTGCACTTAAGTCCCTGCGATTTAGCCTGGAAAGTGACGAACTCAAGTGAACATTGGAGGCCCAATTGCACATTCAAAGCCCATTTTCTTTACCCTAATTTCCATTATATAATCACATTCTTTTCACACAAACAAGGAGAGAAAAAGAAAACCCTTGCCACAACGCTGTCAGAATATCAAATTCTTTCAAGAACCCTAAAACCTTGAAATCCTTATTACAAATCCCCATCTCACTACAAACAAGCCATCTCAGTTACAAACCAACATCTCACTACTTCTTCAGTAAGGGTAAGGCTGGCTTGATCTCCATGATCAAAAGGGCATAAAAGCATTCATGTCACTATTTTTCCAATAAGGGTAAGATTGATTTGATCTCCATGATCAAAAGGATATAATCATTCATACATGCTATATTGTGCCTAAACATTAAATTTCTTCATATATTGGCTTTATTTGCATTTTATGATTTTATTTAATGTGTTCATGAGATTCAACACTGCAGATTTTAGACAGGATCCCATGCAGGTTTATTAAGGAACGTTGAGGCCAAAACACAAATGGCCAAAAGCCAAAAGCCAAATGGCCAAAACAGAACAGCTTACACATGACACCAATACATGGCGAGGCAGACATCTTGAGAAGGTTAAGGAACGTTGAGGCCAGAACACAAATGGCCAAAAGTTAAAACACAAATGGCCAAAACAAAACAGTTTACACATGACGCCAATAACTGTTTCACCCATCCAATCAGGCCCGTATACTCCTAAACTCTCTCTCTATTTTTATTATTTTCCTTTAATTAATTAATCGTTATTCTTTTATTAATCACTAACCAATTAACATTTTTTCCTAATAAAATCAAAAGCACAAAAAATATTTTATTTATTAAAATTAACTTCATCACTTTTATTTTTGTAAATAAATTAATTTAATCAATTTAGCTTTAATTAGATTTAACTTTTAATATTTTTTGCAATATTTAAAATCAATTTAGAATATTAGGGTTTTATTAGCTTTGATTAATTTATTTTATTTCTTTAAATACTCAAAAATCCAAAAATATTTTAATTAATTAATTAG